GACCCGACGCAGGCCGGGAGCCCCCCCAGCAGGCGCCTCGTAGCAGGTACAAAGTGCCTGGTTGCAGTCCATCTCTCGTAAAACCGCCTTCAGCCTTAATTCAAATCCATTGATTCCTATTCCAGTTAAACCTGGAGAACTTAATTTGTCTTTTAATCCTTTTATTGTAAGCTAGGATAAAATTAATTTTGCCCAAGAACTGTGCAAAGCCAATTAACGTGATCTTTAGAGTAAAGTGCTTCAAACTGTTAAATTTATCCTGACCTCGTGGCTGCACTCTCCGACTGCTTTTTAAATGAAGTAATCAATATCTCTCAGCCTTTTAAACAATTTAAACTTCTGAAATATTTTACCTATATTTTAAAGACTTCATAAATACGCCTCGTGCTATCCGTAAAGCTGTCTCCCCTGCCCAGCTGTGGATGTTTAATTCTCAAAAACTGGGATATTTTGAAATATTTAGTACGGTCACTTCATCTAAAGAAAACCCAGCTGGGCAAACTCCTGGACGTGATCGCGTTTTCCTTTTGGCGTGCGGATCTGGAAGTGGTGTTATTTTTATGACTCAAACGTAGAACGGTTTTGTCCTTCCACCCGTGTAGCTTCTGTTTTCCACACAGAGCTATTTGAGGTTATTAATTTTCTTCCTGTGATAGGGTGATCAACCGTCCTGTCAGGAAAATGGATCTCTGTGTCAGCCTTTCGCATGATTAAAGGGAGGCACGTCGCTGTGAGAAAATACCAAATTTTCATGAGACAAATGAAACTGTAGAAGGGACTACTTTTATAGGCATTCCTTCATTTTAAAATCTCCCAAATGGCTGTCAGTTTATTTGTAGGCAATCATTACAATTAATTGTGTGTTTCTGCTCATAATTTAAAAAAAAAAAAGTAGTAAAGGCAAAAATATTTAAGAGATTTTTTTTTTTCCCCCCCTTCCTACCTAGAGGTTTTGGGGAGGAATGTTGCTGGGGGCAGGGTGGGATTTCGTTGTTTCGGGGGGGTTGGGTTGGGTGTTTTCAGTTTCTTGGGTTTGGTTTTTTTTGAGGTAGAAGATCCTGCGCCGCAGTGGTGAGCGGGAGGAAGGCTCTCGTGCGCCAGATTGCTAAGGAAGCGCTCCAAGGATGCTTCCCACCCTCTTCGGGTTGGAATTTATTGTTCGGTTAACAAAGAGTTATCTCCTCGCCATCTGGGCGCTGGAGCGGCGGGAGGAATTAGCTCAGCCGCGCGGCTATGCCGAGCCCACGGCACCGTGCCGCTGCCGGCCTG